AGCATCAATCCCTGCTGTACTGTGAGACAGTGGCCGAGTGTGCACTGCAGCTGCAAGATAAGGCACTAGAAAGATATCTAAATTTTTGGCTAATTCTAGATGTCAAGATAATTGGATTTTTCCAAATTAAAGCTTTCTGTAGTTAAAGAGGATTAAGGTTAGGGACTGTAGCAGGGAATGTTACTGTCACTGCTATGAAGAATTTGCTGCTACAGTGCCATTTTTCTTCTATGTCTGCTCTAAGCAGGCAAAATGGCAAGAGCTTCGTAAAAATATCGAAGTAGTTATATCATTTGCCATCAAAAGCTGGCATGGGAAAGCTTTGTTTCTTGTGCATCTACCTGTTCATTTTATGCTCTTAGCAGAATTGTAGTGGGTGTTGAAGGGACAATATAAGATTGTTTATGCTAAAGTTTAAGTTTTATTAAAACGTCTGTGAAACGTAACATTCCTCGATATGGTAGAATGTAAAGATATGGCAGAGCCAAGGTGCTCAGAGAAGAGGAGTATGTGGTGTTGGGTCAAATATATGTTTAAACCTTTGGTCAAAATCAAGTTCGTTGTTTAGGAATGTCTTTTGGCTTTTAAATTGTCCTGATGGCAATGTGCGTCCCTCAAACCTTGTGAACACTTGCGTTTCATGGAAGAATTAATTGCTATTTTAATAGAAGTTCTGACAATATAAACACTGCTTGAGACACTTTGTCTCCAGATGGTTTCTCTGCAGACTTTCTCTGATTCCCCACACTTCCAAAACAGGGATATAAACCTCCTGACATAACATAGCATGAGTCAGTACCACAACTACAAAAAGAAATCACCAGATTACTCTGCAGCCTCTTCTTGAGCGAGTTCTTGCATCTTCTCTGAAGAAATAGATTTTGATCACTGCTGAGGTAAACCACCACCTTCAATGGACTTATGCCAATCATAAGTCCTTACATTATTGTATATTGCTAGAGCTCTTTCTTATGGTTTAAGGTCATCTCCACGACTTGACTTTTTCTAACTCTGCTGGAACTGAAGGCTGGAGTGTCGCACCATGTGATGAGATATCGCTGCAGAGCTCACTTGCAAGATATGCAAAAAAATTAATCTTTCTTTATCATCTTTGTCAGTTTAGCAGCTATCCCCATACTCATGGAAGAGCCTGACACTTCTTCCACTCCAAGGTCAGAACAGCAACATCCTCCCTGATGTATCTGAGAGGACATTGCAGAAAGGACCCTTCAGATGGAAAGACAACAAAACACATGCGAATGGGAAAAAAAGAGTTGTCCTGTCCTCTCTGCAAGGACTCTGTTGACAGTCCATTGGAGCCCTTGCAATCCTCTCCACAGTGTGACTGTACCTTGAGCAGCTGCATGGTATACAGCACGACAGATGATGTTCTGTAGGCATCCCTATTTCCTGGACATGTTGCCAGATATTCATCCACAGACATGGACTTCAGTGCATAAAGGCTTAAGCAGAAAAATCCTTAGGGATTTCATCGTATAAAGTTTTCTCCTCCAAAGTTTTTATGGGCTGAAGTTTTATATCCTTAAAGACTTTACCCCATAAAAATCCAAGAGAATAATAAAACAAATAGCATCTCTGTCCAGGGTCAGTAGCTTGGGGAAAAAAAAATGCTCTTGGGTAATAATAATACCTTCAGTAGCAGTATTGACCAGAAACTACAGACCTATTCTTTTCCCTGTTGGCTGACATTTTACCATTATTGCCCTCTGAGCTAGTCACTATTTGCATGCTGTGCAGAGTAGTCATGGGTACAGGGCAACACAGAGGTATTATAGGTGTGACTTTGAACCGTTCTTGAGGATGATAAAGCCAAAAGTGAACTCTGCAGGCAGAATACAGAGCTTGTCTGACCCAATTGCTCACGTTTTCATCTTGCTGCCTCACTCCATATATTTTTAAATCTGAACTGTACGGATACACCAAAAAACCCATTCACATGCTCATATTAATCCAGATGAGGAAATAGCTGGCAAGCTCTAGAAAATCAGCAGAATACCCAACATCTCACACAAAATAAGGCTGACCTAACTCGGTGCCTATATTTACACATGAAATTCAGTAAAACTTGAACAGGTAGGCCTCTGCTTTTTTAAAATGTACCTTGGGAAGCTAGATTGGTACCATCATTTTGCTACTGATCCTCTAAGGTCCCTGAACGACAAGATAATTAAAATCCATAGAAATATGAAAGCCGAAAATCACTTTCCTATAAAGCAGCACGGACTGGTAAGTATTCCCACAGGGAAGAATGGGCGCGAATCCATTCACGGGCCCCCAGACTCTTGGCAGTAGGACACACTTGCTATTTTCTGGTCTGATACCTCCAGGTGTGTGGCATTAACCATGGATAACACGGCCGTGCCCGTGGAAAGCTGGAACTCCTCCTCACCGGAGCAGGGGGGATGTTATTACTGCCCCGGGTGGTCATGATACTATTACCCACATTTGAAGCTTGTTAATTTTTCAGGGCTAAATACTGCCCACTCCAGACTGCTTCCATTCCAGTGAATGCAGGATAATGGGCTGACTAAATATAGTAATCTAAAAAATAAACAATTCCCCAGTGATACCCTTGACCTCCAGGCAGAGTATTCAGTGTGAGAGGTGCACGTATGGCAGCCTATCTCAATACCTGCTCAAAACAATTATAGCATTTCTATGGTATTTCTGCACACCCCATACCAATAAACACGATGGAGATAAACCGGCAGAAGACCATATCAAAAGACCCGTTGTCTAAAGCCATTAAGGAGAAGGGCATAGATACTTAACTGATTGGCACGCTCAGCCTCCCGTTCTGGGTTGGTGGGAGCAGCCGTCAGCTAAACAAACGCCTCACGGAGGCACACTGTGTCTTGGATAATTTTACATAGGTGGAGGATAGACTGGAGAACAAAAGTGAGGGTTTGTCAATAAAACACAAAGCTAGTCCCTCAGCAATACTTTCCGTGAATCACTTCAGCGCATAAGGTGATCTGGGAGATTCATACTCCCTCTTTAAAAATATATATCTTCTCCCCTCGTGCTTTTCTGACCACCGCTATTAACCTTGCGCCACTATTGTCACTATTAACCATGTTTACGCTTTCGCCAAGAGACATTAACGAAGCCTTGCAGTTCCCCCGGTTTCCAGAAAGGACTGCCCACGTCAAGACGACACAATTTTTGTTAGCAAGAGACGCAGCTCTGAACGCGGTCTTACCCAACCCCAGGAGGAACTGCAGCTCAGCCTCCCTTGCGCTGATCGATAAGGGCACCGAGCAAGGTGCTGTTTCCAGGCTGGTGGCTCCTTCTGGCACTTCCAGGACCAGCTCACTGGGGTCCACGGAGTGTGAAATCCACCTCTCCGCCTAAGACCAGCACAATGCATCATTTGAGTCATTTTTAAGGGATGACAAGGTTCATAAGCTTCATGTTGCCCTCTGCACAGGAGTGACTTTTACTCTTAATGCAAATGGTGTTTAAATGCAATATTTTAAGACTAATATTCCGTATAGGCACAGTGTCTGATTTGTGCCAACCCAAGGGGCAATATGAATGCTTAGCATTGTTTAACCAGCTGCCAAGGACTGAATAAAACCCTCAGATGAAAGACGTGACCTTCAGAGAGCATGGAATCACTTTTTCTTTTCATCTAAAAGATAATTTATCTAATACTTTTCTCCTCATTGAAAACATAGGCTCGCTGCACTGAAAACTGTTTACAAATGTTCTTTCCCCATTAAATTGATTTTCTGAGTTTAGATAGGCAGTGTTTTCTGGAACTAATTTAAATTCCCCTCTAATTAATATTCAAGACCAAAATATGTTATCTTTGCATGACTGTGCAATTATTAAAGGGAAAATATCATCTGTGAAAGTAATTTTTTTTTTTTTAACTAGCCATTAGCCAACATGAAATGTATAATTTCTTTGCCTTTTTTAGGCTATGATTGAAGAAGCCATCGCTAGAGAAGTATCTTTTTCAGTTATGTACACACCATTTGTGACAGAAGTCAAGGCTGGCAAAGTAAACAAGATTAGGGACATGTTTGCGAAAAAGCACCCTGATTACATGGAGCACATATATACAGGTAACAGCAGATTTCACATGCTCTTAAGCACTGTATACTGTTTGTGTGCATGTGGCTGACTTAAAAAGAGTTTGAGAGTGTCTGGAGCTTGAGCTCCAGACATTTCTACACTTCTGGGGGGGGAAATTAACTTCTGAGATTTGCTCTATGAGCAAATGTATCATGTACATACATTTACCTATGTACATGATTTAGGTAATCACATCAGTACTACGGCAAAGTACAGACTTTACACTGCAAATCTCCATAAAAATTATTTTTATCCATGAAACCCCATGTTTCCATTGTTGAATTTCATTTTTGCAACTAATCTTTTGTTCAAAGGTAGCTTTGCAGTGTATCGTGGTGACAGCAAGACCCAAGTTGATGCCCATCTCCGTGGATTTCCATCAGTCACCAATGGTCATCCCTGGAGCAGGGCCTTCGCTTTCCAAAAATATCCTCCCTTCTACAAGCCCTAACGGATTGACTGCCACCCTTGAGAGCATCTCAGCTGCAGCGATGGGAATAGCTAGCTAGGTTTCTTTGAGCCTGTTGAAGACAAGTAGGATCCAGAGTGAACAAGGGTTTTGCAGAGCTCATTGCCATCTCCAGATGGCAGAGTGAACTCAAATAGCATCTCCTGGAGTAAACAGATGCTTAAATTCTGGCGACCACAGCCTTATTTCAAGAGGAATGGGCATGACATTTCGGCAAAAAAGAGGCAGGGGGAAAAAAAAGCATTTCTTACTATCATTAACCTGGTGACTTGGAACATAGTTGACCCCGAAAGCAGTTGGCTTCGAGTTGGTGATTGAGAAACTTAAAGGGAAAAATACATTTCTCAAGTCAAATTCTGGAAAGCCTCTAACTTTGTCACGCAAACTAGATGTGTAGCTCACCCCTCACTGCCGCTTCCAGCGGGGTGAAAGGCTGAGGTGCCGCCCGCTCCCTGCAAGAGTTACACCCAGGTCGGAGATGCTGGCTTAGTCCTTGCAGCACGGCTGAGCTCCAGCACTCTGCAGATAAATAAGGCTTCCAAAGGATACACACTGCACCTCTGGGGAGGAAAAGAAAATCTATTTGAAAAACGCAAGTAGGAATTAGGAAACCAAATGTTTACCACAAAACTGTGCAAATATTTAACACAAGTAAACTTTTTTCGTTCCTTTTAGTTTTGCTTTAGGAAAGCAGTATAAAACTAGACCGTGCTTTGCAAGTTACAGATCACCCATGTATTGGGTTTCTGGCAGTAGCTTTGGGGTTGTTTGAAGAGGGAAAATGAGGACTTCTCTATCACAGCGGCTGTAAAATCCCTCTCTATCATTTACTTGCGGATGTGACTATGAAGAATTTCCTGGGACAAAAGTATTGGCATTAAAAGGAGCATAAAATAAAACTCTCTGAATCTGGTTTTTAAAAAGATAAATTCATATTTCCCATAACTCCCTCAATCTACAGCCAGGTGAGACTTTCAGGAGCACATAAGCAGCAAAAGTGTGCAAGTGTTGCACTGAAACTCAGTTTGTGTTCATAAATCACTGAATGACTCTGAAAGTGTCGCCAGTCATTTTCTTACTCCTCCCAAGAAGGAAAAGGAAGAAAAAAAAAGAAAGGGGAGGATAAAAGATCCCAATCCTATAGTACTTTAGTCAATTATAAAATAGATTTAATAGAGACAGTTCTGCCCTCAAATATGTTTGTTTACAAAAATCTGTTGGTTAAAAGGCTTGCTTCAATTTTACAGAAATTTCTGAGTGCGGGTTCTGGGAAACTGAAGTTTCTAGGAATTAAATGGGACAGATAGCCAAGAAAAAACAATATGGGTATCAGAGTTTTGAGAGTGCAGTGGTGTGAGAGGTCTCACGCGGGTGGGACCTCTCCCGACTGACCTCCTTTCTGTCCTGGAAACCCTCTCAGGCAGAGCGGACGTGGCTCCTTTTCCTGGACTTGATGCTGAGATAACTCACAACTGTGTTAGGTGAAGTCAACCAAAGCAGTGGGGGGTTCTTGACTTATCTATTCAGGTTTGACCTAAAATCACACTGCCCACCAAAAAAACTATCACAAGCAGCAAGTTTAGCTCATTGTCAGTGTGGTGCCACTGAGCATTTGACCTGCAGGTCTGTATCTCACGTAGGTGAAATTAAAAACACGAGTGAAGCCCCATTTTAACAGTGGGTGTGAAATACCAGACATCTCACGACCATGTTATTTTAAATAACTTTCCTATTCTGTAACAATCGTCTGTCCAATTTTAGTCGAAGTTCTGCTATAGTGTAAAGACCAAATCGATTTCAACGTTTTCCTTATTGCCAAGGAAAAGGAGCAGATACACATTTAAATCCAAGTGTACAATGCGGTTTGTTGCAAAAGTGAGAATCCATCAGAAGCAGAACATGCTGCAAGGGAAATATCAGGTCCACTCGCTTTGATTTATATAAGGGTAAGTCCAGAGAGCTCTGAGCGGGGTTCTCCGTTTGTCACTGTGACCGCACGGCCTGGCATCTTAAAAGCAGAGCTCACCGAAAACGGAGCACTCCTTTGTGAAAAGTGACACTGACATTCAATCTAAGTTCATTTTTTGCAGGAGAAGGGGAGGGAGGAACGGGCTGGTCTGGTTCCCCAAGCAAAGGTGGTTTATACAATTGCTCTGAGCATCTGTCGGCGCTGAGGTCGGGGCAGACCGACTCGGCTGATGCACCCGGGGTTTGGCAGCAGCGATCACAAACCCGGGACGAGCCACAGCGCAGTCACGTGCCAGCTGAGTGGATCAGAAAGGACATGCAGGAAGCCTGGGGTTGTGGTGGTGGTGGTAAAAACACAAATCGGTAGGAAATCAAACCTCATAAATTCAGGGAGCAAGAAAACAACTTTTTTTGCGGTTAAAGGATCAGGTTGGTATGTTACTGAAATGTTGCGTTATTAATGCTTTGGATGATCAGGATTGAAAAGTGCATAAATGGGAAGAACATGTTTTACCTTATGCATCAGCAAAATTTAAGCTGTTGATGAAAAAGATTGCAAAGTCTGGAATTTCAAAACCCAGGTATAGCTGCATGGGTCGGTTTGGTCAGCTTTATTTTCGAAAGCTTTCTGGATGACATTTCGCTCCTCTTTAGCCTTCCTTTTTTTCCCCTCCAAAAAAGTAACTTCTCTTGCAACTGAAAAGAAGTGTGACAGCGGAAATTATTTTCATTTCCCTATCCAGATCCTCATGGACTTCACATCTTGCCACAGACGTCTGAGTGGCCATCCCTGCCTCCCCAGCAGTACTTACTGACTCTGGGTTTCAGAAACAAGCATATTGGAAAAACCTTGGAAAGGTGGTCAAGTAGAAGACTGCCAATCTTTTCAGGTACGACAACTTGCTTAACAGCTGGGATAGCTCAGAGGTGACCTGCAAGATCCTTTCTAAGTGAGGGGAGTCAGGGGGTTTCTCGGGACCCGTTTCTCTGTGCCCGCAGCCCTGAGTGTCCAGACAGCTCTCCCCGTCCTCCTCTCGCCTCCTCCAGTTTACCCATCATCTTGCTATGGGAAATGTATATGCAAAAACACAGTATATGGTTTTGTCATTTCCTTTCCTAGACCGGAAAGCACCTTTCAGTCCTCCCACGAAAGAAGAAACAAAAAGATATTGGGATAACACTGGGAAAAAAATCGTGCCAGTAATGGATTTTATAAGAAGCACCAAATTAACTGTGAGTATAAAATTCACTTTCTAGTGTGTAGTGTGTATGGCGGCAGAAGCCTGTGCGTCTGTGAATGACGCGTGCTTTTTGGTGAGTAATTCATTCTGCACATGCTCCTCCTGTGTCCAGAGGTACTCAGTGAATTGCATTAGGAACAGAGTTCAAATGGGTTTTAGATACTTTTAAAAAGTAGCCCTAATTATTTAACAGTGTACCCAGTTTCTTTAAAATCACTTTGCGTGCAATCTTCTGAAATATTTATGGCCTATTATATTATATCCCTACTTCGCATAACCACCAAAACTACTCGCTGTATTTAATACCCACACATATCACCAGGATCTCCATCAAGAGTTAATAACTGCTACTTGAAGCATTTCTAGTGATTTAGATCCTGATCCTTATGAAGTGTGTGAAATAACCTTCAAATCTGTTACAACCATATTGAAGGTATATTAGTTAATTCTACTCCATACTTTCTGCAATAATGTACACAGCTTTTTAGCACCATGGCTTTTGATTAGCACAAAAGGTCAAAAATCAAATTTGCATGTAGACTAGACTGTTTTAATGCAATTCTTAAATTATTCTCCTGAAAATAAGTGGAAGAAGCCTCTCCTCCCCAGATTGTAAATGCTAATGTTAACACTTTTTCCCTAGCAATAACAGTTTTTTAGTTTTCTGTATGTTGAAGGAATCGGAGCCATTTCCTCGTCAGGGGTGTCTTAGCAAATCACAGGATTTATATTCTTAGGTTTTGATATCAGATAGAAGGTTGACAAAAACTGCTACTTAGCAACGCCTAGCAAGGAAGAACCATCAGCTAGATATTTGAGGAAGCTGTATCATCTCCTTTACTCTCAGAGAGCAGCTGCTGAAACAACAGTAAGTGCTTGAACTCACACGCTTCGTGGGAGGTAGAGGTGCTTAGTGCTTCCCCAAAACGGGCGCTCATACGGCATCTGCCTCAGCGTGATGGAGCAGGCTGAGGGCAGACACCCCCGAGGAGACACACAGCTGCTTCTCTCCAGGTCTTTCCTCAAGCCACGTGCTATTGGCTTCGGTAAACCTGGTTTTATTCTGAAATAAGCCCTGGTCCTTCTGAAAGCCCCAGTAAAACTCTAATTAAAAAAAAAAAAAAAAACCACACTAAACTTGAACGCACAATTCTCTCTTTGGATATAACATCGAGCTTTTAGAGGTGAGATTCCTCTATTGCAGTTATTGAGCATCTAATGAGTATCAGGAAAAGAAAAAACTTTGAAATCAGGTATCTTTTGGATTCCCCATAACTACCCTGTTCTGTAAATGAATTTGGAGGAACAGGACCACACGGTTCAAGCAGTGGTATGTGGCATATGGTATGTAGCGTATAGGGGAAAAACCCCGAATTGATCATGGAAGAGCTGAGAGCAGAGTTGTGTGTAGGATTGCTCAGGCCAGTCCCCACTAGCTGTATGAATTTACACTGCCCCTACACAGCAATATTTGGTACCAGCTCTAGACCTCACCTCGTACGTTTACATACTCTTGCTGAAACAGAAGGTGTCTCCCAAAAATACAGGGTGAAATCCCAGCACCGCTGAAGTCAAGGCAAAACTTGCCTTTTTTTCAAGGAGGTCAGCGTTGCATCCACGTGGTTCAGCAGCAGCAAAAATGGGATAACAGGTCTGATTCAAGGTCTTATATAGATTTATAACCAGCCACCAGGGGGTCAGTATGGGAGCTTTAATGGAGAGGAGGAAAGCCCCAAGACAGAAGAAATTATCACTGAGTTAGAGCAAACAGCTGCCAATTATTTCACATTCATTATCAGTGGAAACATCTTCACTTTCCCTTCAGTTTTCATAGCATTGAATGATCCAGGCAAGGCAGAACCTCTGACCCTAAGAGCAAATGACAAAGCCAATTATCACTGATAATACAGATAGGCACAGAGCCAGAACAGCTCTGCTACCAGTGATTAAAATCTCTTTATGGGCCTGGCAGAGATTTGGCCACTTTTGCTTCCTTGAAAGTATTCCAACATTTTATTCAAGTTAGAAATATGATTCCATCGTCTTTCCGTCACACACAAACTGAATTAAAAACTTCTGGAAGAGAACCTGCAGCTACAGACTCGAGCTTTACAACTTACTTTAAGAAGATAAAAGAATATATTTGTTTTTAATAGAACAAACATTCCTTTTGCCCTCTTCTTCATTTGCAGACGCAAATGTACAATCCAAAATCCTTGTCCTCATAGATTTTTTTTGACAAAAACATCTCAGTGCTAAAGCAGAGCTTATTAAGCCACGGCAACAATTAATATAAGTCAATTCTGCCACATCAGTTTTGCAGTTACACAACCTAGACTTATTTATATGATTTGTATACGCACCGCTGTTGGCAAGACATGAAGTTAAAGGTTAAAAAAAGCAAAACACTTTCTATTGCCCTGCCCTCCATAAAGAACAGCCTATTTAAATCCAGGGGACATTTGTACATTGTAAAGCAAGAGGTGTTTGAGAGAGGATGTCGCAGTCTTGTCCCCACGCAGCATCGTCTGCCACCGATGGGGAAATGCCATAAACTTCATCTACCCAGAAATACATAGCGTGACACAAAGGTTATTGTATGTGCCTTAAAAACATATGTATCACTCAAAAACCTTCAGCTACTCATATTTCAACCAAGATTACCATCACTGGCAAGTGGTTATTCTATCAACAGATTTCACTGGGGTAACTTTGCTGCTCTATACACACCAAGTTTGCCTTTCTCCTGCTGTAGTCCCATGTCAATGGCACATGATGCTACTTAACAGGAGAAACAGTGGCCAGAGGGGCTTATTAGACTGCTCATACTATAAAGGTGAACAAAACCTACCATATGATTCACAGATGATGTGTACATTTACAGACCTCACTGTTTTGTCGTCTATTTTTTAAGTAGAGGGAAAGTGTTTATACACACAGATTTCAGCATACACATTTTCCAAGGGCAATACCAAGGGCATTAAAGAAACATTATAATGGATTTTTTCCACTTGTTATTGCCATACACTATAAAGCTCCTTGAAAGACATAACTTCATTCAGATTTTGGGCTGAAAAATAGACTCTACAATAGAAAAGAAGAATACTGGGGGGCATTCCAGACTTTTGCAAAGTGATGCTCTTAAAGCTGATAGTTAAACATGCCACACATATTGGATATGACAGATCCTGCTTTAAATCCAGGCTGACCAGCCATTTTGCTTTTCTTTTTCTTTAGCACTCAGCAACTAAACTTTATTTCTAAACAGAAGTGGCATAAGGCATTACTCCTTTCTTGAGTATAGAGAAAAGCAAAAAGTGGGGGTATCATCCCAAAAGTCTCAGTACATGAAAGGACACATGATTCACTCCTCTCTGCTCTCCAGCTCCTTTTTGCAATGAAAGCTTGTCCTAGCTTTGCTCTGGTTGTTAGTGCTGGGTATTTAGCAATAGCAGGTAAACTCCATCCAGAGCAGGCTGAGCTGCTTTTTATATATACTGCTCAGACCTTCAGCTACTCATATTTCAATCAAGATTACTATCACTGACAAAGCTTTTTCATCCCAGGGTCAGAGGAATGAAAGTCTCCCAGGGCTGATCCTCAGGCATGAGGACCTTATTTCCCTCCTAGAAGGAAGGTCTTCAAAGATGCCTCTAGGAATAATTTTTTTTTTTTTTTTTTTAAGTTCAAAGGGAATTTTTGCAGCAAAAATGTTTCTGGGGAAAGGTCTCACAGAAGGACCTCCACCTCAGGCGAGGCTGCCCATTAAGAATAAAGTCCTCAAGAGAAAGTCCATCAATTGCTCATCTTTATTTTTTTCTTTAAATTCTTCTTGGAAGGGGTGAGGCCCATCTAGAAAGTAACAAACAGCATCATAATTTAAGCATTTATTTTCTTAATATGTTACTGCATTTCTAACCAGGATGCAACTGTGACTCCATATACTGCATTTGTTGGTTCCCTTGCTGCCTGATTTCTCAAATGTGTATCTCTGTTAAAGGAGCCAACTCTTTTCCACTGAAGTTTCCATTTAAGTTTGCTCTTTACCTAATCTTCACTGTGCCAACCTGAGCTGGTTTCATCTTCATCTGATTGCTTGGCCACTTTATTATGTTTTTTACTGCAGCTTAGTAGCCCCTTGAATTCCACTATAGTTCATGTAATTCTCGGCATGTGGTTTAGCTCCCCATGGAATTTTTTCTCCTGCCAGCAGCAGTTATTTACTTTCTCTTTCTGCATTTTTCATTGTCACTGAAATGCCACCTCTGATAATGTTCAACCTCCTCTAATTCCTTCAAAAACACTCCCACTGTTGGTTATTTATTTATTTACTTCCAACCTACTATAAACTTAAATAGCACTGCTATGTCCATAGAGTGCATGCTGGCACAGATGCCAAATTTGTTTCCCATAGCTACGTGGCATGCTCTCATATTTTTCTGACAAGTCAAGCAGAGAAAAAATTGTTTTCTTTTTGCCTTTACTTTCTTAATCATTGGAGAAGCCCCCAACAGACACAGCATGACGAGAGAGGATTTTTTCTTGCTTTCTTATCTGATGACTCAATATACTAATTTCTCTTGGTGCTTATAAAAAGGGGTTTGGGCGGTTTTCAAGAATAGCAGGGAGAAACCTTTTACTGTATCTAAATGTTGTGAGACTATTTAATGTTGATGAGAGCTCTCTTTCTCTCTCATTAACTGATTGCTTCTCCTTACTTTAATGCACAGTAGTCTACCTGGGGACACATCTATCTGGCTTTCAAACATCGATGAGCGAGTGGAGGTGGGGCTCCATTTTGTTTCTTGCTTTAGTGCCATGCTAACTAGACTGCGTCAGACTTACAATTCCACATATCAGAGATCACAGAAATCTTTTTTTCTTGCTGATATCTCCTACTAATGCTAGGTCAGGTCCTCAGAAAAGGACTCTCAAGCGATAAAAATAGTTTGTAAGACGGTTGTCCTGGTCTCCCTTCTTAGAGGTGGGTCAACAGAACTTCATAAGAAGGCAGGCCTGGAAGGGCTCTCCTGGCTCCTCATGACAAACCACCTGCTCTTATATACCCTTGTGTCACATAATATCCAATTCATAAATTGAGTAAAATCCATCCTAGAACTAGTTAGGCTTTCTGCCTTTTCTACTCTTGCTGAAACACACTGCAGACCTTCAACCTGAATTATAAGCAGCTTAATTGCCACCTCAGTCTTATTTGTACCTATTTATACACAACGGTCCTTCTGTTATCATTGCCTTTTATCTCTCTCCTTTCCTTTTCAGTTGTTTGCTCTCTTTGGAATTTAGCCCTGCATTATGTTTATTGAGAAGAATAATAACCTCTTGGCATTTTCATTAATAGACTAATCAAACCACACTTCTCTCAAAAGAGGTATCTCCTACCGTGCTGGATTCTCTGATCCATGAGGCTTGGGTTTAAATTAACCTCTCCAAACACAGATGACTGGAGCTGTCTGCAATACTCCAGAGAACTGCTGACCAGAGCTCCTCTTCCCTGTGCAGTGCCCGGTTCTCTCCTTCAGCTAATGGAAACCCCAGTTCATTGGCTCAGCTCTTTCTTTTTCAGTTGCTTTCATATCTGGAGCTCCCAGCTTATAGCTACATTCCTGCCATTGGTCTCCAGTGCATGGTCTTTTATTTCATACTATTTTTCAGTTATATTAGGTATTTGATTAAAAGGGGTAAAATTAACTATACCTGGATTGTTTGTATTTTTCTAGAGTTAGAAGATAACTAAGCTTTTTTCCATTGTTATTCTAGTAAGATGTATAGAAAGCAAGAACAGCATTGCTGTTAAATTCTTAGACTTGGTACAAGAACTCCGTTGATGGTCATTTTGGTAACACTTGGTGCTTGCCTAGTGCAACTTTCTTCAAAACCAAGATCAAGATCAAACCAAATGATCAAGATCGGTTGCCCAGAGAAGTTCATTTTAAAACTGGGACATCATTTATTGAAATATAAACGCCATTTAAAACTTTGCTTTCTCCCTGTTCAACATACGATGGACCTACAATCACCTGCCTGGAAGCGCATGTAAATGGCAGCGTCAGCGTGCAACTGCCGGAACAAAGGTCTGCTAAAAATACTGGAAGCGGTTTTGAAAATTGTTGCCAATTTTTGGAATTTCAGGCACTTAAATACGTTCAAAACCCTGATTAGATGAATGGAAAATTCACTCGGAAGGGCTGAGCATTCAGATATGCAATGGCTACATCTCGTCGGGAATCTAGGCCAAATTGCTTTTGAAAATCTCGGTAGGGTGCTTATTTGCATTTTTGGCATCAGAATACTTTTGAAAATATGGTGGTAACGCTGCCATCCATCAAACACTTCAGCAGGTGCTGAGATTTTATGCAAGCAGTTGGCTGAGTTTCTGTATCCACACGCTTAAAATTTACCATGTGCCTAGCTGCCTGGAGGATCAGGGACCACCTCTGCAGGTTTTAGTCCCTCAAGGTTATATATTTGAAAACTATGGATCCGCCTAGTCTGCAAACAAACCATAAGCTGACACACTGCATGGTTTCCTCAACCTCTTCGCTGAAACTTTAAAAGTTATCCATAAAAGTCAGGTAATACTCAACAGAAGGGATTATGGAAAAGCCATTTCCAAATAAGAAAATTGCATTCATGCTTGTTATCGGCTGTCTCCTCTTCACGTGTATCATGACTACATATTTATTTTTCTAGTGCTACTAGAGAGATTGTGGAAAGAATGTCCTTTTTTTCCCCCTCTATAAAGATTGTCAGCAGCATTATCTTCAAGGTGCTGGATGCCATATTGCTTATAGTATTACTAGCACAAATATAGATGATGATAAGCCTCAAGGCATAGGACTCAAAGGATAAGTGTGTTTTCTGCGACTCTCCTCTAACCTACGTGCTTTTCCCGAGAAAACAGGACAATCTCTGTGCTTGCTCACGTGGGATAGAGAAGTTGCATTACGCCAGCCTCCTCGGCCGTTTGCAGAGAGTCGAGGAACAGTCCCAAGTGATTAATCAAGCGATGGCTGAGCTAGCAACCGTTCCCTACCTGCAGGACATCAGTCAGCAGGATGCCAAACTGGTAAGTATTTATTTCTAATACTTGCTTTGGCCTTCGGAGGCAGGGAGCCAGGGAGGGAAGGGCTGGGGCAGGGCACTGCGCCGCGATTTGCTCTGGAAGTCATTTTTCGACTGCGCGGACCTGAAGTAGTTTTAAAATCCTACTGCAGTGCCTTGTCAGAGGAGGTGCTAATCACCTGCAAGGATGACTTTTATAGAACCAGCATGACTCATCTGTAGGCATATTTTTAAAACCTCTTCTTTTCCCCCAAAACTCCTCATATCAGTCTGGGAAAATGATTGCAATTATTCAGATTGTGCTACTTTAAGATATCTAACATCAGAAACCACCTGCAGCAAAACAGGCTGAATCTAGTTAAAGCTGAGGAGAGAGGGGAAAGGAGAAAAAAAGATTTTCTTTCCTGGCTCCATCTACGACTTGCTCCCTGTCTCCAAATAAACCCATCTACCTGCTCTGCTTTTGTTTTCCCTTTGTGAAGTGAGGGCAGTGATGCTAACGGGGCTGTTGCAAGACAAAAGTCATTATTAGCTTGCTCGTATATCGATAACCTGCAATCAGAAGGTACAGTACGGCTTTTCTTCCACGAGCCTGTCGGATTTTCCGATGGGGGAAGGAGGGAGCTCGCATAAATGCAAATTTTAAGCATTTCATTCTTTAAAAAAAAAAAAAAAAAAAAGTCCCTCCACAGTCCCTGCATTTAAATGCAGCCCAATTTTGATGATCCAACTTCTTTTCACTGAAAACTCTTGGTTTTCCCAAAGCCAGTCCCTCGACGTTTGTTTGCAGTCCTGCAAAGCTCCTAAGCCTCCTCAGTCCCATTAAAGCTTCACAGCAGCTTGCTTTGGGGAGGATGAGCAGTGGCCTGCAACCGCGGGAGGTGGCTGCCAGACTTTGAAGTCTGGGCTCGAGATAAGGGGAAACGACGCTGCAAAGAAACTGTGTTATTAAAAGACATTCTCCTTTTGATGCAAGTGTTCTCGTATTAAACTTCAGCGGGCCCACATTTCAAGGCTGACTAAAGGATCTTGAGTTATTGGCACGTATTTCAGCGATAGGTTTTTCTCCAGGGTACAGTATTTTCAGTGCATCACACGCTCGGCACAGGCTATTACACTGTTGCCTGTATCGTGTCGTGTAGTAATCATAAGCCTGACCTCCCTGGAAAGCTTCTTGGGGGAGGCTCTAGGCCACCCGAGACAAAGGTCTTCAGTCTCTTAGGGGCAGGACTGGGCAGAACGAGGGTCCGTGCTGGGAGATTTAAGTGACAGATTGTAAATCTTTCAATAAAACACATATGCTTTGTTTACTGAGCCCCAGGTAAAAATGTTTTTTAAAAGAATGAAGGCAGAAAATCTCTGCCAGCTATCCTGGCCAGAGCATTAAGATGTATTAATTCAGCATTCATTTATTTTCCTTTGTCCTGTCATCCTGCTGTAAAATAGATCTTTAGTCTGTGTGTGCAAATGGAAGCTCAGATGCTTTGTAGCTAGAATATTTTAGTAAACTTCAGGCATCACGGTCTTAAGGCATAAGACTGCAAGCAAGAACTTTCGGAGTGGCTTCACCAGGGAGTGATTAGTGGGCTTTTCCTTCCCTGGGGGCATCAGCCCACATGGCACGGGCTCCTCTTGTGCCAGTAGGGACCATTTTCCTACCACATGGCGGCTGCATCAAGCACAGAACGTTGCTGCCCGCCGTTGGGTCTGCGTGCCCAAACCGTCGAGGGAGCGAGTGAAAGATCCTCATCCGCTCAGCTTACCTGTCACCCTCCTCATCTCGCCCGCATCCAGGCAGGGTGAAATGTTTGCAGGACTGGGCTGTACTGGTGTGATTCAGCAGCCCTCGATGGATGCTACAGGGGCAGCCCTGCCACCTCCATGGGGTCAGAAACATCGCACCCATGCTGACTCCATGCTTCTCACTCGTCACCAACATTCCAAAGAGATATCTGAATTTCTTCCATGAAGAAAACTGAGCTGGCCAAATTCTAATCTCACTTGTCCTAATAAAAGTTTAAAGTAATTCCTCTGAGGTCATTCTGACTTTACATTGGTAAAATTGAGATAAGACTTTGTGACCAAGTAAGGCACTTAAATTGTGAGTTACAAAATGTTAAAGATGCCAAATGTTTATTATCACATACAGTATAAGTTGTATAAAGTTTAAAACACACTGAATTTATAATAGGGCGATTTGCACTGATACAGCAAGGATCCCAAAGGCGTATCAGTTACAAAATCTTACATGCAAATGTCTTCCTGTAACCAAATAAATAGAGTCCTAACCTATGGCACAAAGAACCTCAACTGAGATCTTTTTAGATCAGTATTTATTTATAGACCTTGGGAAAATACAGATTTCAGTTAGCTTGAACAGTTGAATGTAAGTGGGGAAAAACCCTGAAGAAAATCTTTCCAAAGTTTGCGATTTCAATATCACCATATTTGTACATCATAAATTAAGATGAAAGCTTGTTAAAATAGCAGAAATCTATTTCAATTTAAAATCAAATGAGGACAATATTTTTTAAAATGCAACATTTTTCCTGGGAGGGGATTTTCCAAAAAAAGATCAGCTTTGAGAGAATCACTGTGGTTTGCCAAGGGCCACCCTTATAGCATGCACTTCTTCTCTGCCAATAGAGCTGGTGACAAACTTTGGGCCATAAAAATTAAAACCAGAGCACACACTGGGCACTTTTCACTGGCATGTATCAACACCAGTGGAACTTTAATTGGAAAGGTTTCTTGTTTTAACTTCCCGCCCCAAGCAGTGAGGTCCCCAGCTTGGCTGGGCTGTGGGAGCGGCCCCTCGGGGGTGGCAGACAGACGTCCTGGTCCCTGCCCCACGGCTGCTGTTCCACCAGTCCTTCGGAGAGAATCATTCCGAGAAAAGCAGTGGAGAAATCCTCCCCTTCCCCTGGCCGGTTACCTCCTCTGCCTGGTTTGACGCAGGATCTGTGCTTTTCCCATTCTGCCCTTAAAACGCTTAATCTCTGGGCTGTTCTATTCTGGATTTACAGCAGGAGATTATCTGTCATAAAAGTATTGTGATGGAAAATTCCTAACAGGTTCCTGACTCTTTGTGCACTAAAGTCAGAGGCAGAAATTTGCAGGTTTGTTTTTTGTGAACACTGATGCATGACTTAAAAAATTAAAAGATTTCATCAAAAGTTTGGACCAATAAGATTGAACTTAATGGCTGCACAAGCACAGAGAAAGTAGGCTGGAACCAACCATAACAAATTTATTTAGAGATTCAAAAGAAGATTCCTGTATCCTTTATCCATTGTTGGGACACAGACAAAGAATTTTAATTCAAAAACCTGAATGTGAAGGTAAACTTCAGGAAATACACGTCTGCCTCTTGAATCTCAAGGCAACACTTTTATATCTTGCGCAGATGAGCCTAAACACTGATGGTTTAAGTTTCATCATCTTATGTACTCAGACCGCTGCCTGTCTAGGTACAGAAAGAAGAGATAATTTCTCTATGAATGCGTACATTTATACTGTCCTATTACTTGTCATGAGTAACAAATATGGGAAGAGTCACCAAAAACTATTGTCTGGGTTCACTTTAACCAGCTAAACATTTTGGAATAGACTTAGGGGACAACAGTATCACAAATATTAAATACAAGTTTTTCTCAGTTTGTTCCTAAACACTGATGCTAACGGCTGCTCGCAGGATGACACCCTGGATCCAACCCTTGCCTCTCTGTCACGGAATTAAAAGCATTTTTAGATGCTTTAGAAAGCAGAAAAAGAACATTAAAACATTTTCAAGGGTTTGGGAAGGCTGCAGGGTGAGGCAACGCTATGACTAACCTGGAAGGAGGCAGTACTACAACTAACCTGAATTTTAGCCTTCCTCCTAACACCAGGGACTGATTAGCAAGTATTTTCCTACAGCTTCTTTTTATAGTTTACACTAGAAATTGTCAGCCTTGGTTTTATGCTCTGTTATGCTGAATGATGGGGAGAATGCAGGGTTTGCCAAAGAAAAAGGATAGTAAAAACAGGGAAAATGAGCTAGATACTTCCAACTACAGTAAAAGCATCTCAGCTTTAGTGTTGCCCTCTTCTGAGGTTTTACATGCTGCCTTAAATTATGATACATTAGCCTTGGGAGAAAATACTAAAAAGCATTCATGTACGACACAGAATATCCCAGATAGATAGCTAAAGAATGAAATACGGAGCCTTTATTCTTTATAACCCAAGTCTTCCTTTACCAAGTATAAACATTTGCTGCATTAAAATGTATAGGCTTAAATACAAATTTTCCAGAGGATTTTCCCCATTGTTAAGTACTTTATATCCACAATAATATGGTGTAATGGCTGAAGCAAAGATGAGGTGGCAGTGCTCATTGTGTGAAAGATGAGTAATAAAATCATCAGCGTACAAATGATTTTTTAATTAGGTTTTAATCTGTGTATTTAGAGAAGTTATTTCTGTGTGAATTCCACACTGATAATTTTTATCTTGGTGCCACAGCTGCAGTTGCTAATGGCAGATGCCATGGACACCCTTGAAGGAAGAAGTGATAGAAGACGTGTGTGGAATAAAATTCAGAAGGTAAAAACCTGCAACAAAGGGCGGGAGAGTATATTGTTCCTTGGGGAGTAAATGTCCACCTGAGTCATGTCTGTTGAAAAGGTAGAGCAGAAAGTAGGTGCCATTTGAAACCTGACTGTGTGCCGCGAACTCTGTTAGAGCTCAGGCACTGGCCACAAATACATATTTATTATTTGCTTTAGCCCCTATGGCTGATCTTTGTCCATGTTAATAGTCTCATGTGGTTATCCAACCCAACCTCAAACAGCTTATTTTTGGCTGATAATTATACTTCTTTTCCATCTTTGTCATATGGGGTAGTGTGCTAATTGGGTGCGGGAGGGAGTTGTTAGGGAATAAAATTCCGACCAACAAATTAGGTCCCTCAGTGGAGCTCAAATGAGGCTTTGGTGATGTGAGAGGTAAAAGACATGTAAATGCCTTTCTGGAGTCTCTGCACAGCAACCAGTCAATTTAATTCTTAAAAGATTTGTGAAATGCAAGGAGTCTTGTGTTGGTTCTCCATACAGATGAATCTGATCCGATGTAATGAATAATAGGTCAGGCTGGGACGTAATAAGAGTATGTTGTATTTTTACAAAGCCTTTCAAACCAGAGCAAATCACAGCTCTGGGCATTCAACACCATCGACATTCAGCCACTTCGGAGGAAAAGGATAGCAACACATCACCAGGAAGGGAGAACCGTTGCTAACGGTTCAAAGCACTGGTCCTACCCTACGCCTTCCGGCTCCGTCAGATCCCAGGCGGACGCCCGCCCACGCTGCGCCGCGGCTGCGGTGGGAGGTCGGGCAACAGGAGGGTTGAGTTGCTGCCCTGGTGGCACTCGAAATTGTCCCTCTGTGATATTTAGGGTTTACAGAGAGATCTCAGGGAAGATCCTGAAAATCCAAACCCTGGCGGCACTGAGGCCATGTAACCAGGATAAGAAACAGGACAGAGATGTCTGACACAAGCCACGGGGTGGAGGGTCAAGGTATTTTCAGAGTCCTTCTTTCCAAGGATTTGGATTAAAATTGCAGAAGGCATCTCCTCTGAAAGAAAGTCTGTGTAGGTGTATTGCCTCGGTTAGCTGTCAGATCAGTGGCTCATAACAAAGTTTTCCAAGTACAGAATGTTTTCAGAAAGTAACCAAAACCTAAATGCCTCAAATTATAGACAGAGACTGCGTTTCATCTCTTGAAACGCTCGTGAGGCAAAACAAAGGATAAATATTCATCCTGCGTTTACGTTACGCAGAATAGACTCTAAATCTCTCGCACCTGCCTACAGATCATATGAGAATCTTTTGCAACACAAACACTAGGTATGATATGAATTATTTCTATTCATACAATTGCGTACGTATTTCTTGCCATATATAATAAACATTGATAACGAGATTAATGCAAAGAGTCAATAATTCAGTTACAAATAGCCTATTCCCTGGACTTCTCTGTCACTTATCCTTCCCGTTTTCAGACAATAGGCTTAAATATCAGCCAGTTTTCCAAAGCTTTTCCAAAAGTCAGGGGTTTAATCCACGGTTAGGTGTTTGAATAACCAGCCTGATTTTCACAGCTCGGAACAAACACAGTTCAGAGGCTGCTGAGAACGGATCACGGCTGAAAGTTAGACCAAGTACACAGATATCTAAATACTTATTAAGGGCTCATTAGAGGTTTAGTGGTGGTACCAAAAAGATTCCTACATATTTCAAGACAGCAGCTAATATTTCATTCTAAATTCAGTAAAACAAAGTCTTTTCTTTCAGTGTATTCATACGTACATATGTACATCCTTCCTATTTCTCTGGATACATTTTCATTATAATCTTCATGGAAATCAAGCTAACATTTAAAAATGGACTGGCATCCCCTATTATGCCACATGAATCTGTGCATAATTCAATATTTGGGAAAAAAATTTACTGAATCCATGAAAATCTGCTCTCTGCCATTTTAAAATTTGGTGCTTCAAAGTTTTTTTGCATTCTGAGCATAGAATTGTGTTTCATTTTTGACAACTCTGATAACTATTTGATTTGAGGCATCTTGTTCCAAGTAGAACTCTCTGTTTCATAACACCAAAATATTTTTCTGTATTATATCAGAACAAAGAAATGAAAAGCATTATCAAGTACTTCTTTTCTACTTCACTATTTTCCAAAATTTAATTTCAGCATATTCAGCATGTTGTTGGGAAAAAAAGTCTTTTTTAATAGATGAGACAGGAGAACATTCAGGGAGCCTGGCAGGCTTTTTGCTGGGTTTTTTTGGTGGTTTGTGGTTTTGTCATTGGTTTGTTTTTTGGGTTTTTTATGATCTCTAATTTAACCTAGCGTTAATGTATTACTAAGTTAATGTATTAAGTTAATGTAGCTCTAATGTATTACTAAGAAGAAGGATTAAATCTGATGATTAAAAATTGATGTGGTACGAATTACCACATGTCACTTTTGCTAGAAACATTTCAAAAAGTTCAGTATTTCTCCATTCGCTCATCACATGATGCTGATTGTAGGAGCCTACAGAGAACCTTCACACAGATATAGTTACAAGGTAGTTATGTGGTTTTTTGCTATCGAATTAATTTACATATATTGGAAAGCAAAAAAGAACATAAAGGAGTTTATACAATCAGCTGTAAATGCAAAACTCTGGAAAGCTGACAGCTACACTACCACCAATGTAGTTTGGCTTTTGCAATAGAAACAGCTGTTGCACCTAGGGAAAGCACTCAAGTTTTTTTCCTCTAATGCAGCAGAATTATAGCAGTGCCTATTTTCCAAATGGTTAAAGGGTCTGTCAGAATTGCCATTACAAACCACTGTTTTCAGAGTTTTATATTCTTGAGTTAGCCATAAAAAATTCATTCAGGCTGAAATCTGACACAGAAGGGCACAAAGCCTGACACCCAAATACTTTTCCTTTTGTCACAGTGGAAAGCTTATCAAATTAGTTTGAAATTAATCTGTGCAATTTGAATTTACAAGAGTGACAAAGTAGTAATATATGTGTAGCTTCAAGTGTTTTGTGTGCTGCACTGCTCATCCAATTCACTGACAAATTTTTGGTTTTAAGTGAACTAATTTATCAAATGGGCTAATTATTTTTGGAAGCTTTAAATACAAAGAAATAAAAGATGACCTTATAATTAGCTGGAGAAAAAGAGAACATCACTGCACAGAAGACAGCTTTCTCAGCATTACCAGGCTACAGACTCTCCAGCTACAAGGAGGGCTGACCCAGGAGAGCCTAGATTACCTTGGGAGATTAAGAAACATCCTTCTACAGAGGCTTTTCCCACATACTAGATATCCCTGAAGAATGCCTTGGAGGCAGCAAAAATGGGCTGGATCAGTCTCCCAAAATCCCTATCCTCTGAGATTTTACTGACACTTTTCCTTGCAGTCCCCTGGATAAAATGTGAGCTTTGTATTAGCAATTTGGGGAAACAGACACCTGGATCTAAGACCTTTCAGACAATTAACAGAGGGACCGAGTCCCAGTCTACCTCAGGATCATTTCCCTTCTTTTTATAGTTGTCAGAAATTCCCAAACTGAACTTGCTGGTGGCCACACTGCTGGGCTTACAGAGTATTCAAAGCACCATATTAGGGGTTTGGAATTTTTTTTTTTAGTTACTGGCTCTGTCCGAATAGTGTTATAGGTTGAGTTGTGACGGTACTCAAATATGACACCGCCAGCATTTCATGAGAACAGACTTCTCTGAAGCCACCTTTATGAATGGGAAGCCCTCCAAAAGTAGTCACTAAGACACACTATGGGAAAGAGCATCAAACCACCTCTTTTAAAGAGATTTAAGTCTTCACCAGTGAACAGAGGTAGAAATGTATTTTTGCTTACCGGATTTTGAAGTGTAAATTCTCTTCTTAATTCAAATTACATTTGAATTTATTATTTTAAAGAGACTGACTTAGCCCAACCATTTGAGCAATGACCTCCAACGCACAAGGGTCAGCCGCAACGAGCAGGAAAATTCCAAGAGAGATTGAGGGGAAACTAACCTGATAATTCAACTCAATCCAGCCACCGGGTCTCAAGCAAGTTGAGGTACAACTATAACAGCCAGGTCTGGCCATTATTGACTGGCTTCTTTGCTGGCAGTTATATGTGATGTAACTGAAATCTGACATGAACATGAATACTGGGACTCGCAGTAAAGCTTGGCCCAGAGTAACTCAAGGAACCAGGTCTCTGCATGGCCACTGCAGGACTCCGTAGTAGCTACGGACAGGCAGAGGGGTTTAGAGTATCTCAGATACATCAAACAGCAGGAAGGCTCCCCTTTTCCTCTATTGAGCCTTTGCTTCTCTGCAGTCTTGTGAGAGGAAAAATAAAGAGATTACTTTCCTATCTCATAAGAATAAATTCATTAATAAAGCCTCACAATGTTGTTACAGTGAGAGGCATTTCATTAAATAAATAGATACTTTAGAGCCTATCAACCAGAAACTTTTGGCATCCGTAGAGAGGAGAGCCAAACAACTGCAAGTGCCAGTATGGCTCTGCTTCTCCTATGAAGATAATAATGTGGTTCTACTTCTCTCCTCCATCTAGCCCTAGGCTTTCATAGCAGTTTCATAGGATCCTCTTAACATCATTTGAACAGCCAAAGGATAGACAGGAGTTGGCAAATGAACACTTTCCTACACTTCCACATGTGAGACACTTCATAAAACCTTCACATCTGAGTTTACCTCAAGGGCATCACGTACTTTGCAATTTAGATAAGTTATTATGCCCATCATTTGCTGAGCTCAGTGGAATGCCTGTTTCATAAATCTGAAAGCAGACAAACATGGATGAGTGAATAAAAGAACAGATGTAACTTACATAAGGATAAGTATATAACAAAAGCTGCACTAATATATGTGAATATGAAATGAAGTAAAATTAGCTTAACAGATTATATAATCTTTTAGCCAGGCACACAGATTTTCAGCAGTTGACCTCTGCTTACTACATCTCTGCCTTCTGCAACAGCAGGGGAACACTA